ATCTTCTCACCCTCATCTTCGGACGAATTCAGTCACGAATGGCTATTCACGCTAGTAACGGGTTGACTTGCCACACTATCGTGTTGACGGGATGAGAGAGTGTATAAAACATGAGGTGTAACTAATATGACGAGGGTTTGATAAAACTCCCAGTACCACAAGGTTATCATACTCATTCCAGGGTGGGTGAGGGAGGTGGGATGGAGGAAATGATCCATAGGCAACAGGAATGACAGGAGTCAATTTCTCCGGTGCCGATAGATTGCTTGACTCACACTGGCTCGGTAAAACTCACAATATAAGGTGTCGCGTTGAATGTCATTTCGCGATAAGCTGGCGTGCGGCGAAGATGAGCTCGATGTTAGTGAGGCGACGATATCCTCAGTGATGAAGATGGTTGAGTCAGTCTCCATTCATAGCCTCAACCTGATACTCTTTCCTTCATTGTGCACCAACCGAGGGAAAACGAGAATGAGACCTCTGTGGAAGCTGACAAGACTACTGCTGTCAGCAGTAGTCTGTCAGCAGTCTGCTGACGATCTTGCTTCCATCACGAACATGCGTACTGCTGCTCAATGAGTCCCCGATTATCTGGTGACTCGAGGTATAATGGCAAGAGCTCTGTCAACACGTTCAGCGATTTATGGGTGTGGATATTGTCATTTCGGCATATAAGTGAGTGTCCTATCGCTGCCCAAGGGGGAAGATCTGGGTTCTTCCACCCAGGGGCCGTATGCGGATCCTGATCCATGAATCTGAGTCCATGATTCAACTCACGCTTTGATCCTGATTCATGATTCAAGTCACACCTTGATTCGAGAGAACTCATTCAGATTCTTAGCTTAGGAGAAAGAGTCGAGATTTCTGAGTATGAGTACTTGAGACAGAGTCAGATTACGTAATCATGAGCAAGATCCTTGATCCTTGATTTTAATCAGCCGTTGAGTCCGAGTCCTGATCCTTAATCACGATTCAAGATTCAAATCTATACTCAATGGCTGATTCAGAGTTTTTGGCACTGAGACTAAGTACTTCATCAATTCGAGATCGTGTCTCCACTTCTGTACTAAACCACTTTTGTACTAAACGATGATAGGTGAGCGATTTATACCGGATCTGGACTTTTTCGCACGCAAACGATTAAGTTTTTTAGTGGGTAAAATATCCACTGTTGTACCAAATTCTGCACGTTTTTACTCACTTTATTTTTTCCGATAAAGAAATTTTTGACACCGGGTGAAACTTTACTTCCACTTCTGCACTAAATTTTTGGGATGCTTTTGCACGGGTTAAATTTTACGACTTGGGTTTTTTCACACGTCTTAAAACGACCTGCCTTCCGCTACTGTGAGTGAAGCCCTCACTGCGAGGAGAGCCGAGGACGTCCTGCGTCTAACGCAATTTAACAAGTCTCAACGTATAACCTCATTCCTTGTAGTCTACAAGTGTAGACTCCTAAATTATGTCGTAATTATTACAGACCGTTGTGCGCTCCAGCGCAGTGTACGGAGACTCATGAACCATTATACGGTTTCCCGGTGTTTGTACTTGACTGTATTACTCTGTTATTACTGTTATTGTATTGTGCGCCGTGACACCGGTGGCGTCACGTATTTCTGCATGCGTGCTGAGGCCTTACTCGGGCACTTGCCCAGTGCTCTTAAAGGTTAGACTGAGGACAGGAGTGAGCTAAGCTTCTCATTCTTACTGGCCTAGGACTTAGGCTACAGCTTAAGTTAGTACACTGTGTTGAGGTTTACTAGCCGCTAGTGGTTATACTTCGTACGTTAAGTAACGTAGTCAAAGCTATGGTTTCGGAAATCATCAATAGATTAGGAATTATGTTCACTAGACATAAGACATGACCGACATATTCATACTGTCCATGAAATACACCTGACCACCCACAACGGCAGATGCGGCATAGTGCCCACATGTCGGATCTAGAACGGGTTGGAGATAGAGCTCACGGCTTTCAGGATGCTATCAATGACCCGCGAGAAGCCGAAGTGAGTTGTTCCCACCAATACGCCTCGAGCAGCTGTAACCCCACCCTGCCGACAGAGCATAGCCATCCACATATCCACGATGTCATCAGGAATAGTACTTCCTTGAGTCAGGACCTCTGCTCAGTTTTCGACCTGACGGAGAGCTATTCGATCAACTATTTGCTATTTTTGTTCTAAGGCGAGCGCTATTTCATTTGGTTCAGAAGTGGTTTGAGAGTGGTACAAGCTCAATCAACTGGGTCAAATTTTCCACAAAAGGAACGATTTTAGCACAGAAGTGGTTCGCGGAGCGAAGCGCTTCCCGAAGGGAAGTTTTTAAAATAGGGGCGAGCGCTACTTGATTTGGTACAAAAGTGGATTAGTACAAAAGTGGCGTAATCGCAGAGTCGACCGAACTTGCGCCAGTGAGGCCTACAGTGTAGTCTGGCGTTCATTATGATTACGTGGGATGTGATTTCTCACACTATCGAATTCACTGGGAAGTCCAACCCGAACTATGGACGTAAATATTGCCGCGACGCATAGTTCATTGAAGGAGTGTTCGTGAGGATCATCATCTAGGGCTGATCGTGTTAACCTCTCAGTGGTCGTAAGCTCCTTTCGTTATCAGACAATACTTCTTTAAATGTTCCTATGATACCCTATTGGTCGTTACTGCTAGTGACCTCTATTCTTGCCTTACGCAAAGGGGAAAACAACCACGACGGCGTCGCTCCGTCGTCATATATGGAGAAATCTGGTCCCTGGTGGGACTGCTGGATGAAGGGGAGGTGTGTCTGTACTGCTGGTCTCAGGTACCCCTCTATGCCACCTTATGGGGGTGTGTTTCCCTACAGTATGCCGAATTACTATCCTTCCGTATACGCTGGCGTACCAGCACAGCAGTTTCAGCCTCCGCCTATGATGGGGCAGGGTCCGGGTTCGATCCCTGGTTACGGCTCTTCTATTGGGGCTGCTTTACCTCAGCCTGTTATGGTAGCTCCAAATCGTTACGAAACCACTACTAGCACTGTATCACAGGCTCCTAGCACCGCTCAAGCATCATCCTACTTGCCCTCTCCCACTGTGCAACGGCCACCTCCTATGGCTCAATGGCCACAAGCAATCATTCCGTCAACACCAGACGCCGGGCCTCTCGCATCGGCAGTAGTACTGGTGTGTCAGATTCGGACCTAATCTGTATCTTTCGATAGGTTGCTGAAGATACTCCAATTGACGGGTCTGTTGTACCGGCTAGTCACGGTAGTAGTAGTAAGTCGTTGAATGAGGTGATGAAAGAGATAATGACGGGGGTGGTGACACCGAGTCCCAATTTGGGTATTATATAAGAGATCCATCTCAGTGGACGAATTCTCATCAGGCTCGTCGGCTACTACTGCTATTACTACTACGACTGCGAGTTCTGTCACGACTACTACCACTACTAAGTCCGTCGATGCATTATCGGTGGCTCTCGCGGAAGCTGAGAAGAAAGTTAAGGAAAGCTCCAAAGGTGAGCTGGCCCTCGAGGTCATCATTGATCTCATCAACGTGTTTAGAGTTGGAGAACAAGGCTAGGGTTGAGGCGTCGAAGTCGCCGATGGACATAATCAGGGAGCTGCAACAGTTCGCCCCGAAGAGGGGATCAGCTACAATATCAGCGAAGGGCGTTGAGGTAAGTAGATGCTCCTTGGGGGTAGTAGGAGGCAGTTTGTTAAGGATAGTCTGGGATTATACACTCTGAATTCGAAGAGGTATTGGAGTTCTGAAAAAGGATATAACCTGATTTTGTGGCTATTTTGGAACTACATCTCGGTGATCATAGGGTCTCTAGTAGATGGAGGTTTAGTTGGCACGTATGATGAGATAAGAGTTGATTTTGCATTTGAAATCACTTGTGACGGACTCCGACCACCCCATTCGGCGTATTACCATCATTTAGGGCAGGTTAGATCAGTCTGTGATTATTGCTCTATTGCTTATATTGTCAGGTTTCCTCCCTTCCTAAGTTCGATCATGTTCCCAATTGGAGAGATCTGCTCGGGGCTGACGACGAGGGCCCGTTCGCATCCGATGATGTGGTAGTATAGGAGAGGACGATGTGGCGGATTTATGGTATGTAGAATGTCTATCTATGATGCTAGTCATGTAAACCGTAACGTTGTCCATCCCAGAGTGTAGTGTTGTTGAGGAGGAGCGATTGTCGATTCTCCAGCGGATTTTATTGACCTGTCATTATCATGATGATGCTGCCCTTGACCACCAGCCTTCCTCGGCGCCCGGATGAGGCTCCTAACTACGAGATGGCCCCGATGGAACATAAAAACGAGTTCAACCCTTATGTGGATAACGGCGGGTATTTTCTAGTGTTCGTTTGTCTGCTGTTGCTAGTAGTAGTAGTAGTAGTAGTAGTAGTAGTAGTAGTAGAAGTAGAAGATAGTATTAGAGAAGCTGCTATGGATCCGAAATCGTGGAAGAGGATTGTAAATGCGACTATTAGCTCGCACGTTTGTCCAGATGAACTATGCGGGAATGAAATGAAGTAGTATTAGTATTCTTAGGACCTGCATTGCCGTCCCTGGGGCTGACTACTGTGTGGTATCTACTGACAATCGTGTTAGTAAGGGTTATAGTATTGCGACCAGAAATGGATCAAAGATCACCAAATTGTGAGTTATAAGGCGCTATCCTTACTCGGTTATGATAATGATGATAGGACGGAGCGGTGTGTGATTACTACTAGTGGTATGTTGGCCGACCAGATCACCCTTCACAAGGTGTTGAAAGTAATGTGGATTCGCAGAGTATAACATTGACTTATAGTTGTCTTTTTTCAGAACCGAGTGGCTCGCTATGTACATGAGCACAGGCGGGAGCCTACTATCGGTGCTGTAGCGCAGATGCTTTCCAACATACTGTATTACAAGAGGTTCTTCCCGTAAGCATTTGGGAGGGTTATGTAACCTCAGCTTGGTTAGATGTGGGGAAGGTGTGGTATAGGACCTCGATTTTCCCTTGGAGTTGTCTGACGCGATGGGAAATTCTCGACAACGGTCAAATGAGTGGAGGAGTTTGTTTTAGATACTACACGTTCAACATGATTGCGGGTATTGATGAGAACGGGCAAGGTAGTAAAAATGTCGGTACCAGGATTCGAACCTGCGTTGTTGGCAGGGAAAGTATACGGTTATGATGCTATCGGCTCCTTTGAATCCATCCCTTGTGGTGCCCAAGGCAGTGGCAGCTCTCTGGTACAGAGCATCCTTGATAACCAGGTAGTTGTCGAGCCTCTAAGCCTCCAGCCTTACCCTAAGTTTAGTTAACGAAAGCTCATCAGCAGTTGGCTTCTCATGAGGCGCTCACTGAAGGGCAGATGGTCGAGTTGTGCAAGGATGTAATTGCCTCGGCTACGGAGCGGGACATTCATACTGGTGAGCAGAGCTGTTTTTCGAGGGATGGGTAAAGTATGCACATGGTCAACCACATATTTCGGTGAAATTTTGAGAAAATACTGTTGATTTCTGTACATTTCTACCCGAGTTCGTGTGTAAATTTCCATAATTAGTGAGGAAACTCCTCATAAGTTCAGCTGAGAAGAGCGAAGATATATCCGTCTAACACTGGAGGGGTTTGGGTTCATGCCGACTTAGGTGATTCAAATACGGTATGCACAATCGATACCACCGGTATCAAGATACAGACCTTCGAACTTCGGAAGGATTAAGTCGCTAGTGTTCGTCATCATCCCTCGCTAATGTGTGTTGATAAGTTTCGCTGATGACCTTTGGAATGTCGCAGTGTGGTGTTTGTTAATTGTGGGTGTGAGGTATAGTTTTCGATGTGAGTATGTTGTCATCAGTGGCACTCGAACGATGGTCTGATTGTCCAGTATCATCATCATCATGTTGCTATTACATAGTAGTAATCAAGTTGATGGTAAAAGGGTTCAGCGTTTTGGCGCTCCCTTTTGATCTATTACTGACCTTGTAGTAAGGTGCTATTAGTAATATTGGAGATTAACTTGGGGCAGATGTGGTATGAATATCAGTTGTATTTCCCATTCATGGCTGTTGAGAATCATCATCGTAGATCACTCAACCTCTCCTTGGAGTCTTCCTCCATGCGAACGGCTCTGTCGTGGCCAGACCGTCCACTTTTCAGTAAGCATCGTTACGCTCATCTTGGAGAATGACTATCCAACTGCTGACCTCTGGGGGGAGGGAGTAGACAACTAGTGAATAACGAGGAGAGCAATCGAGTGTGAATGTTGTGGCGAATGAGAACGCTGCGTGCCTGGTTTTACTCTCGAAATGGAAAACACTAGTGAAATATGTATTTCACATTTCACCTCGCGAAAGACGCATGTGAATAACGTGTAGAGCGCGTGAAATTTTTTACACAAAGTCGTGTGATTTGTCCAGTGTACTTCGGCAAATACTTTCATATTCGCGAATAGCGCTTTTTTGCTTTAAAGTATAGCACCACTTCACGTAAAACGGGTGAAACTCCACTGTCATGCCGCAGGTCCTTCCAACGTTGGTCACCGTCGTCATCCATGTTCAATGCCTAGACGACGTCACTTTGAGAGTGAGTTGTTATTGGAGTTTGGAAAAAGTTGAATGTTGATCAGATGCTCCGGTGAGTCCAGTGTGGGATCGTAAATACAACTCAATGTACTCTGGTCGAGGAAAAAAGAAAGCTCTGAGGAATGGCTTGTAAGATTATGTTGTTGATGTTGGAGTGAATAGTAGTAGTAGGTATGATGCCGTAACGTGCAAGCCTGTAGCACCATATGGTAATGAGAATAACGAAGGGTCACGACCACCGAGTAAGCATCGATAACCGCAGTTGGTTTACGAACGTCTGCATAGGTAAAGCTCGTATAACGTGGGAGACTCAGAAGAGCTCTATGTTTGGGGTAGTGGGGGAGGGGTAGTTGAGATTATTGTCGTGAGTATGTCTTCTGAAAAATGCCCAATCTGATAGCGATGTATTGAGCTGGGGTATGTTCAGACAACCTGCATGTAGTAGAGACTGTTCGTATGACCATAATAGAGTGCCCAACGGCTATGGGCTAATACAAGTCAACTAGCCTCAAGTCCTTCATCATTTGTAATGATAGAGGACTGCATTAACAATGCCGTACATCTGCTGCTGCTGAGACCCCTTGAATGTCCCTCAATAGTTTTATCCTAAGCTCTGGTGACTCCTTCTGTAGTCGACTGAGTCACATTCAGCGACATTGACTCGACGATGTCTTACTCTCTTGTAGGCCTCTTTTAAACCAAAAGGCGAGACTATACCAGAACCATTGGAGAAGAAGCCGCCCTCTATCGATCCTAGGTGACTATCTAATTCGGGGTTTCAACGTTAGACTGCCTGTCAGGAACGTCATACTCGGTCAAGGCCTGGGCAAAAGCGAATCAATAACTCGAATGCCGAGACGAGCACCAGGTTGCATCAGCGTTCGTGAATCTAGTATGCCTTTTGACATACTGAAATCTGATGATCGCCGCCAGCCAGAAGAGAGTACTCGAGAAGTGCCTAATCTGGCGTTGTTAGCACCATATGGTACCGCCCTCACCCCGAGGCCTGACAGGTGGGTTCTGAAGGAGTTCCAATAAGAAGGATATCTTTTCGATAGATACAAACCGATCAGGGGTCAGAGACCTGTTAGTAGCTCTATTTTTGAAGCGAAGAATGATTCCCGACGTTCTTCCGCGATGCTCGACGATGGTGGCAGTGTATTCACCATGGGAGGAATCAACCTGACGAGGTAGGATGCAATGGGTTGGTGGTGATGAACGTGTATGGTATCGGCTCAGGTATATAGCAGCTCATAGAACTAGCTTCAGTAGATAGTCCGAAACATGATAGTCATAGACAATGACATGCTCTTATGCGTTTACATGCTCCTTTGTGTCACACCTCTTTGTGCTCTGTTACCATCATGTCAACCCCATAGTCTCGAGCTATGTAGTCCTCAGGGGTACTTAGGTGTTTTGAATGGATATTTCTGGTATACTGGACGACGCGTACCACGCGGTAAAAGAATTCTCTCGCGTAGTTGCTTGAGACGAGATAGCAGGTGCTGTTGCTTAGTTGAGCTAGCCGATAGTTTGGATATGCTCCATATCACTCTAGAGGTGCTCAGTTGCTCATGGGAGTATCGCAAAATCCGCCACGCAAATTCATCATCGCTCTCTTCGATTGAACTCGTGCTTGCTTGGAACTCTACAAGGAGAGTACGAATCAATTATGAGCCGAATGCTTCTTAGTAAAAGCTTCAGAGATCTAGAAGTCTTCGCAGCCAAGAGATTCCATTCTACATGAGATTCCTTCTACGGCTGCTTCCGTTAGCCATGCTCTCCTCCATCCTTCTCCTGGCTGTCATCAACCTCTCGCGTATCTGGTAGGGAGGGGTGTTGACGCCTCCAATGACAGGTCATCACTAGGCTCCAACGTGGGTTTGGCCGGAAAGCTGTGGGATCGATGCAAGAAGATATAATCGAGCTCCGTAGAAGTGGGTTTCAGAGACGATAGAAAAAATGTCATGCGATGGACTGGCAGGCATCGAAGCTCTGGAGAGAGTGCTTCTCAGAGACACTCCGTTCGCGAGCGGAGACCTCCCATCAGGACAATTCAATTCATGGACTGAGCGAGCTGTAAAAGCTCTCTGCACATTGTCCATCCCTGGAAGGCAACGAGTGCAGGCACCAGTCACCACTATAGCCAGCCTTGAACAAACAAACCAGTCGCCACGAGAAGCTCCCACTCCGACGCTGCCAATGCTTCGAAAGCGGAGTCACCCATCGTTACCGCTGACTGAAAAGCTGTATAGAGATGACGGAAGATGTGGCAGTCAGTAGCCACACTGCCACTGACAGCGCACCCTGACGTCAATCTAGATACCTCCTACCCAATGGTCGTCCTGCTCAGTGCAATCCATGGGAGTTTCCTTGCTGTGCCACTAGTGGTAGGCAAGGAACGCCGTCTCGAGTAGATCAATACTGAACAGGTTGGTGTGGTGAAACGGAGTTCCACTGTAACTGTCAAGGGTGCAAGAACTACGCTGTGGCCGACTGTGTCACACGAACGCACTGTGCTAAAGATACCTCCTGTAAGCTCGTGGGATATGCCTCGGACAAACTTCATTTGGAGAAGCGAGTAGTGATTTCGGGGTAACGTTCAGTGTGGGCGCTCAGGACGAGGCAAGTTGCAGAAAAAAACTGACAAACGTAGGATTAGACAAACTCTGATCTCAGATCATTGATTTGGTGATTCACAAGAGATCGCACATGACTTGTTCGTAGATATCAACCAACTTGTGAGAATCTCCATATAGCCTACACCATTCAAAGACTATACAAGTTTCCAATCGCGTGGGCTCAGACGTATCCCATCATTCACATTCTAAATAGCTCATGTCAGTTCTGGACAGTCTTTCTCGACCGGAATACGCAACGCGTCCCTTTTTGGGTCCTACATAGATCTCTGAATGGTATAGTCCATAGCGGGTGGCATAGCGGCCCCTCCCCTATTCGGCCGCCCTAAATAGATCTCTAAATGGTATAGTCCATAGCGGGGCGCATAGCGGCCCCTCCCCTATTCGGCCCTAAATAGATCTCTGAATGGTATAGTCCATAGCGGGTGGCATAGCGGCCCCTCCCCTATTCGGCCGCCCTAAATAGATCTCTGAATGGTATAGTCCATAGCGGGGGGCATAGCGGCCCCTCCCCTATTCGGCCGCCCTAAATAGATCTCTGAATGGTATAGTCCATAGCGGGGCGCATAGCGGCCCCTCCCCTATTCGGCCCTAAATAGATCTCTGAATGGTATAGTCCATAGCGGGTGGCATAGCGGCCCCTCCCCTATTCGGCCGCCCTAAATAGATCTCTGAATGGTATAGTCCATAGCGGGGGGTATAGCGGCCCCTCCCCTATTCGGCCGCCCTAAATAGATCTCTGAATGGTATAGTCCATAGCGGGGGGCATAGCGGCCCCTCCCCTATTCGGCCGCCCTAAATAGATCTCTGAATGGTATAGTCCATAGCGGGAGGCATAGCGGCCCCTCCCCTATTCGGCCGCCCTAAATAGATCTCTGAATGGTATAGTCCATAGCGGGGGGCATAGCGGCCCCTCCCCTATTGGGCCGCCCTAAATAGATCTCTGAATGGTATAGTCCATAGTGGGGGGGGCATAGCGGCCCCCTAATCTGCCAAGCAGCTGACGGAATCTCAATCATTATTGAATTCCTGTAATAATCTACTGTTATTCGTCTATAGTGTTGACTCACCTCGGTCACGTTGTTTCGAACCGTCGGTTTATGCATGCGATCCGAAACCTGATTATCAAGTCCTGATGGAGCTCGCATCAGTGATATGTCGAGCACTCAGGTGAACCCATCGTGGTGGAGCCAGCAGACGATGCTGCCAAGATCATCGTTATCGCATCGGCTTGGATTGGGCCCCAAAAGCGTTTCACAGATGCTAAGCGAAATCATGTTCGCAACGGAGCCTATCAGGCTCACTGTCACGTCTGCGCAGGTTCGGTATGCACGAAAACATGGGTACGGATATTTCGCGGTGGAATGCAACTGGAGTGATCGCGGTTTTCCCCATTGGAGCAAGCTCCTGATTGCCAGACACCTTCTGGAAGGTCATGGGCTCTCTAATCCTCCGGAGTAGCCTCTCGCGTTGTCTGAAGCGATCACTACCGAAAGTGAGGTACATATTTTGGATGGACGCCGACTCCCTGTTCATGAACCCTAGTGTGAAGATTGAGAATCA